GATTCAGGATCAGTGACCAAATACACAAATACACTTTTCGGGGAATACATATAAAAAAACTCCCTGACTGTACAAAAAATAAAATACTCCGGCTGTTTGAGCATTCTCAGCTAAAACTTGCTCTTTAAAATATATTTCCAGTAACAACACCTTGGGACTAACTATTGGAACAACTGCCCTTTCAGCTTCTCTTGGAAGTTAGTAAACATTTTTGAGAGATCACTGAGTCACTCACTGGGAAATTGACTTCCAAACCCCTAATTGTTTCCCCGAGATTAATCTGCGGCAGAGTGAAGCACATCTGTAAGGAACGGACAAAAAATAATTTGTATCTCGTATCATGTTAGAGTAAGTGTACGTCCCATTGGGGAGTTCTCAAACTGCTCACACAATCGGCATGCGGGCTGCGGGCTGCGAAATCTAATCAGTATTCTGCACCCCTGCCAAGAAGCAGGTCACGGGACTTGGAAGACTCCAAAGATGTAAAGTACGGGAGACTTTACCATGGTTGTTTTACACACACGCACATGCACACATGTATCTCCCCATGTACAGAGAGTAACACTAAGCTAAGTAGTTTATGTGATTTAAACAGTGCTGTGCATTTTCCAATAAAAAACTTGTGGAAAATCAGATATTTGCAAGAAAGAACTGCTCACTGGTAAGCAGCATATAAAATAAACAGTTTAATCTAGAGGCTTATGACCTATAGATCAGCATTGTCCAAAATTTCTAATTCCTCCAAACTCTCTCAGACCCTAGGTAGGAAGGGGAGAAAGTACACAATGTTGAAATACTTATTGATACACAGGTTATTATAATTAAGTGTGATAGTCAAACAGCACAAAACACACACTCGCACTCTCTTCCGGAAGATGTCTATAGACTAAAAAGTGAGAACCAGATAAATTATTCATGATACACTGAATATTGAAAGCATTGTTCAAAATATGAATATTTATAATCCAAACAAAACATGGTGTAAAAAGTCATGTTTACATCGTGACAGAAAGACTTGCAAATACTCCTCTTACATTTACATTCTATTCTTTTTTAAGAGACCAGCACATTCTACGCACCCCACATCGTAAACTGAACTACGGCTGCGTGAAAGTGGAGAAATGCTGGATCCTGGATTTTAACTTCCACGCTGACACTCTCGGGAGAAGCTGGGTTTCCTTGTGCTAAAATGAACGAGCCATGCAAGCAGTCGACCCACTTGACCTTATAATTCCACTCCACAGGTCTGCGCTGCACAGCACTCATATTTCTTAATATTTGCTTTAATTCAAAAACACTGCACCCATCACTCCTGAGAAGTCCAATGCTTATGAGTTAAAGGTACAGACAAATACCAGATCCGATGGCTTTGCCGAGAGGACAAACTAGTTCTCCGGTGCTGACCAAACATGTCCCTTTGGAAGACTTGGCGATGCCCAAGGAATCGAGCGCTGGGTGTGGAAGAGCTGGGCGCTGAGAGCCCCGCGGCCGCGAGGTGCGGAGGGAAAGCTGAGCACACGCACTGGCTCGGGCACTAGCGCAACTTCTGAAATCCTCCCGGTCCCCCCCAACCTCAGAACTGCAGCATGCTCTCCTCTGGGGCTTGTAAAGTGAATTAGACACAATTATAATTCAATACAAATAAAAAACCAGCCCAATTACCCTTAAGATGATTTTCATTTTAAAAGCTTTATCATTTAAGTTAGACCAGAATCTTCCCTAATGAATCAAGTGGGCCCCATGACATAAGTACAAGATTTGTATGTTATGTTTTCTATGGAGAAAAGTAGTTATGAGTAAATTCTGGAAAACTGTGCTGACTACGCCTCCCAAGGCGAACAGAGCAAACATCTGTTGCAAGAACTGCTTGGCTTACAGACAGTATGTAAAGGGTGCTTTTCCCAGTGTTTTGCTGTTTTCTTTTAAAAAAACTGATTGGTGTAAAAAAAAATAGTTTCTACTATCAATTCTCAAGACATTAAAATCTTAAATGAGCTGCACTAGGTCATTACCAGGTGTGTTACAGAAAGTGAAACTGCAGAGCACAAGACTCCACTTGCGTTATAAAAGGGCAATAAAGTAACCGAGTGTTGCCTTCTGTCTGCGGCGCACAGAGTAACTGTAACCACTGTCGTTCTGTGCGAACCCGGGCCTCCACCCAGACAGGGCAGCGCCGCTCACAGCCCAGCGCGTGGAACCAAGCGTCTTCGACCTCCTGACGATTTTCGCCCTCCGCTGGGGTCCCAGGCACGACCCAGCTCTCTCTCCCTTAGATGTCGCTGGCTTCCCCCAGCTCCCAAACTCAATACCTCGGTATCCGCACTAAATGACTAATGACCTCTTAAAGTTTTATTCCAGTGTCAGAAGAAGGAACTGAGACATTTTGGAGTAACACATCAAACACAAAGTGTATTAACTGCACTGGGAGGCGGGAAGAGTCAATGAGCCCCTGGGACTCACCTTCCCTCAACCGCAGTGAAGAACTGGTCAGGGCTTTTTTGTAAACTGCGCTCATTTTCCTTCATTCTGAAAGAATGGGAGTTTGCCTAAAATTCACAGGGAAAACACCATCACTTTAGCATTTGGAGATTCTACCAAGTGCACACACAGGCAGGTGCAAACGAATACAAATGTTCATAAGCAGCAAAGCCCAGGGCACGGAACGCAGTCCTGATGAGGGAAGCCGGAGGGGTAAACACACGACCACTTCTCAACGCGCTTCCAGTAACACGCGGCCCGGCTTCCTGTCCTTCCCTCTTCTCCCTGTGCCGATCCCAAGCATTTGGAGGCTACTGTTTATAAGAAGCTACGATTCGGTTTCACAATTCCATCTTTATGCTAACAGGAAGGTACTGATTTAATTCCTAAAACATTCCTGGGAGGATTTCCACAGGACATCCTAAGACTACCGTGAGAAACGTCTCCCGTTCAGGCAGCGGGGAGATTAGGAAGCTGCCATTTCTCTCTCTCCCACACCCGAAGGACGGGCCCTTCCGTGGGCTCCGACTCAGTTCACGGTCTGTCACGGAAGGCGCCCGTGCGCACACGCACTGGGTGGAGTATTCGCTCACACACTCGTAGGGAAAATGCTCACAAAAGTCGTCCTCACGATGGCATTTGCAAATGTCACCCCAAGCAAAAAGTCTGAGGACAATTCACTTATCGGACATAAAACCATAAAAACGAAAGTCAAAGTCACCTACGCTCCAGCATCCGCATTTTCAAATCAAGTCCGTGATTACTGCACACTGACACTCTGCGTGTCAGGAAGAGATGAATCACAGAGAGACGTGTGCCCCTTCCCAGGACGCCAGGTGCCCCCCAGGCCACGTGACCCCCGAAGCACCTCACTGCTGCCAGAAGCCACCCTCCCTCACTGTCGCAGCTGGGCTTCCTCCGGCGGGTCACTGCGAGCTGTGTGTTGGGGTTAAAGAACACACTAGCTTCCACCGCACGGTGTCTAAGAGAACAGGTTCACAGTTTTTTAAACTTAAAAACAGAATGTTCTCCCTGTTATTGCTCCTAATTTGAATAAAGTGATTTGAAGCCACTTGTATTTTATCTACTTCACGTTTTGTGTTCTACTGCCCATGTGTTACAGAGTACACCTGTACAAAATGTTATACTGCTTGTGAGTTCTGAACACATACATGTACTGTGTTTCCCATACTGCACTCACAATAACATGTCCACAAAGCACCCTCTAGTTACAAACTAAGTCAACGCTCATAACTACCCGGCATTGTGCACTATTACGTCCACACTGCCGGCAAAACCTGGGTGCTGAGAAGTTCAGATTGACCCGAGGTCTTCAGCACAGATGGGAAGGTCTGCATACTCATGGCTCTCAGGATAGATTTGTTCTGCTATGTTTTTATTTCAGTGACTTAAGATTCCCTATGAGGTATTTCCCAAAACCTAAAAAAGAAAAAGGGGCAAACTACCTAGTGCTGAAGGAGACAACTCAAGGATGTGTGTTCTACTTATTAAGAAATCCTTGCCCGATTAACCCTTTGTCTGAAACTTAAATGAAAAATTTCTGCATAGGGTACCTCTTAATATGCATCACTTTAAACTTCGACATGCATGACTCAAATTAATCCACTCACTTATCCTGACGACAGTGCCCTGCTCCCACCTTGCAGGTGAGAAGACAAGCCACGGGAACACAGCCATTCGCCCACAGGTGTGAGGGAGGGCGGGACCCAACATGTCCCACCCTTGGCTTCTCGTTCATTTCTCAGACTAGAGAGCCAAGTCCTTCCCGTAAGCCCACTGGTTCTGAAGTCATTATTAGAGTGAGTGCACAACCCTCCGGAGCGGGGCACGCATCCGGGCCCTCATGGGTGGCGGGGAACACACCCAGTGTTCTCACGTCCCCGCACCTGGACGAGCATTTGCTATTGTGTCCGTTTTGGAAACGCTTTACACATCTTGTTCCTTGAGTGCCAGGACGGAATGCCCTGCTCCACAGAAGCTCTGCGGAGCGAGACCCGATTATTTGTCCAGCATCAGTCTCCTGCTTTAAGGGGACAGGTGTCGGCTGAGACAGGACGGTGAACGAGGATGCAGAAGAGCAGGTCCCCTGTGTCGGCTGGCACGGGACTGGCGAGACCAGACCCCCGCGTCCAGCCCGGCTGGCCACAGGACAGGACCCGCCGCTGCGGTCGACAGCGAGCGTCTCAGAGGGGCGAGGGGCACCTGGGGACGCGCGGGGAGCTGGGAAACAGGAGAAGGGCCTCAGTAAGTGGTGGGGTGAAGAACCTGACGTTGCCAGGCCGCCGGCCCTGCAGAAGAGATGGGGAAGATGCCCAGACAAGTCCCCTTGCTTTGCTAAACAGTTAAAAAGTCCCTGCGCTCCGAGAGGAATCGGGCACATAAACAGTAATTCCTGTCGGATCCATACAGGCTTCCCACGAAAGCCAACGTGTCACGCTCAAACACAGCACAACCACACGTCCTGAGTGACAGGCACCGTGGCGGGAGACGCGGAGACGTACCTCTTGCACGGAGCGGGCAGCCGGCTTGTCCTGGTGATTGGCCAGGATGAGGAAGGGCAGGGTGCAGAGCTGCGGGTGCTGCAGGGCCGAGTGCAGCTCGCTCCGCGCCGCCTCCAGGTCGCCCTCCGAGGACGCGCTGTCCAGCACGAAGATCACCCCTTGAGACCCTTGGTAGTAGCGGCTCCAGTACTTCCGGATGTGATCGGCCCCTGTCAAAGCGGAACAAATCTCCTTTTAAAAATAGCTTTCAGCAACCGAGAAACACTCCCGGCAGTAGTTCCTGTTGGGAACCGATGAAGCTTTTAAAAATTAACTGCAGAGATCATGGCTGCTGAGAACAAAGGAGGCATCCGGGCCAATGAATGGACGTGAACTTGAGGGAGACGCAGGAGTTGAAGAATCCCCCCCCCATGCCTTGCTGACCAGAGACACGCTTCTCAGCTAAAGGATGTTTCCCGAGTCTGCGTAACAGCCCTAAACAAATGGCACTCTTTGCACACTTGGTTTACAGCCGCCTTGGAGAACAGTGCAGCCCAGCTGTGCACTGGGACTTCCCCCTGCCATCGACATTGGCTTGGTGACATTTTCTAACAGAATGGGTCGGCCATCGGGCAGCCTTGTGTGATCTGCTCAAGGAAGCGGAGTGAGAGGCCCAGCACCTGTGTTTGTCAAAGTGCTGGCACGTGCGACACGCCCGAATCTCGGCCCTTCGTGGGCACCTGCAGGAGCCCACCTGGCAACAGACACACCTGTGGTCTCATGACGACGCGGCTGCGCCCAGCTGCTGGCTGCACCCCCGATACCCAGCACGGTGCCGACCAGCGCCCGGCGCAGGAACGAGGGAAGTGAGGGGACGAGGGAGTGAAGTCGCACACGAAGTGGGCTTCGTGGACTTTGAGACCAGAAGGGGTTTCCGGGGCTCTCCAGTCCCGGTCTCCGGGAAAACCGAGGCCAGGAGAGGGAAACCAACTGAGGGTCACGCACGTGTGCAGTCGACCCCAAACTGGAGATCTGTGATGTGTGCGTTTGGGGGGGGGGGGCTGGATTCTGCTTATATAACAAAATCAGGTTATGGAGGCATTTCCCTGTGCAGGGCACCTGACCACACCTCCACTTAGTGATGACGCCCAGATCACCACTGAGCGTCTTGGTCCCAGCACCGTGCCAAGTACTGGCCGGGCCGAAAATTGCGTTTGGATTTTTCTGTACGATGTCTCTAGCAGCGCTTAGTCGTCTCTAACTTCATTCAAAACAATGTTGCTAGACTGTATTGTGACAGCTGTCGTATCAGTGAGCATTAAAAAAACTTATCAGACTTCCGCCAAGATGGAGGCATAGGTGGAGATGCCGTGCCTTCTCACACAACCAAGTTTAGAGACAACTAAATATTAGCAACAGAAAACTCAGCCAAAACACGGAAAATTGAACTTTTCGGAAGTCCGATAACAACAAATTCTTCAGCCTGACCAGTAAGGGGCGAAACCAGCGGCTGGTGAAGCGGGGTTGCACAGGAAAACTCGGTCAGATGGACTCAGGCGCGCGGAATACATACGCGCGGAATCCAGGCGCAGGGTTGGACCTAGTGAGCGACCGAGCGAGCCACCAGGCGAGTGACCTCGGGGGAGACAGCGGGGCAGCGGGGCTGCGTGTTGACTGTGGACAGGCGAGGGAGTGGGCGGTTGGACCGGGGCCCAGCGGGTCCCGCGGCAAGCGGCAGTGGAGGGTGCCGCCATTTCCCTGCTCTGACCCCACCTCCACATACAGTGTCATAACCCAGCGACTCTGAGTGGCCCGGCCCAGGTGAACCACCTAAGACACTAATCCTCACCCAGCTGTGAGAAACAGCAGAGGGGGTCGCCATTTCCCCGCTCTAACCACGCCCCCACATACAGCGTCACAACCCAGCGACCTGGGAGTCCAAGGCACCGCTTCTCACACTTAAAGGGCCAGAACAGACCAAAAATGTCGCGAGAAGATCTCAAAGCCCCAGAGCCCATAGATCTAAGCGATGAAGAAATAGCAAAACTCACAGATGCACAGTTTAAAACACTGGTCATCAGGATCCTCACAGAACTGGTTGATTATACCCACAAATTAGACAAATATATGAAGGCGAAACTAATTGAAATGAATGGAATTGCACAGGACACCAATAGCAATGAAAAGGAAACTGGGACTCAAATCAATGGAGTGGACCAGAAGAAAGCAAATAATGGCCAAAGAGAAAAGAGTCAAGAAGCAAGAATTCAAAGAAATGAGGAGAGTCTTAGGAACCTCCAGGACATCTTTAAACGCTCCAACATCCGAATTATAGGGGTACCAGAAGGGGGAAAGGCACAGCTACCAGTGGAAAACTTATTTGAACAAATAATAAAGGAGAATTTCCCCAATCTGGCAAAGGAAATAGACTTCCAGGAAATCCAGGAAGCTCGGAGAGTCCCAAAGAAGTTGTACCCAAGAAGGAACACACCAAGGCACATCATAATTACATTAGCCAAGATTAAAATGAAGGAGAGAATCCTAGAAGCAGCAAGAGCTAAGGGGACAGTCACCTACAAAGGAGTCCCCATCAGACTGTCAGCGGATTTCTCAAAAGAGACCTTACAGGCAAAAAGGGGCTGGAAAGAGGTATTCCAAGTCATGAAATCCAAAGACCTACAACCAAGATTGCTCCATCCAGCAAAACTTTCATTTAGAATGGAAGGACAGATAAGGTGCTTCTCAGATAAGATCAAATTCAAGGAGTTCATCATCACCAAGCCCTTATTATATGAAATATTAAAGGGACTTATCTAAAAAAAGAAGTTAAAGAAACATGAACAGTGAAAGGACAACAAACTCACAGTTATTAACAACCACACCTAAAACAAAAGCAAACTAAAAGGACAGCTAGATCAGGAGTGGAAACATAGAAATGAAGATCTCAAGGAGGGTTAGCAACAGGGGAGTGGGAGGAGGAGAAGGGGGGAGAAGGTACAGAAAATAAGTAGCATAGACAGTAGATAGAAAATAGATGGGGGGGCAAGAATAGCATGGGAAATATAGAATCTAAAGGACTTGAGACACATGGTCATAAACTAAAGGGGGGGTAATGGTGGGGATGGGGGGGAGGGTGGAGGGGAATGAAGGGGGGAATAGAACAACTGTAACAGCATAATCAATAAAAAAAATTAAAAAAAATAAAATAAAATAAAAATAAAAAAACTTATCAAAATTGGTGAATTTTTATGTAGCCATTTAAACATCGAAGATGGAAGAAAACATACAACATTTTCGGTCTATGATGCGTATTATTTTAAGAAAAGTAAAAACACAACTGAAACGCAAAACAAGCTTTGTGCAGTGTGTGGAGAAGGTGCCGTGACTGATGGGACGTGTCAGAAGTGGTTTAGGAAGTTTCGTGCTGGAGATTCCTCGCTGGACGATGCTCCACGGTCAGGTGGACCAGCTGAAGTTGATGGCGATCAAATCAAGACATTAATTGAGAACAATCAACGTTATACCAGGCGGTGGATAGCTGACATACTCAAAATATCCAAGTCAATACAGTTATTGGTGAAAATGAAAAATGTGTCTTTTATTTTATGGGAAGAACCACCCGACGGCACGGACACCGAGAGCGGCAGCAGGGGCGGCACGTGCTGGGTGGCACCAGCCGGCCTTGTGCTCTTCCCAGCCCTGTGCTCGGGGACATCGCGTCGGCAGCTTGACTTTGGAGGGCATCGGGGCACTTTCCCTGTGGACATCAGCAAAGGCCAGGCATGTACGTTACCAGGTCTTGTCTCCCCTCGTGAGCCGGCACCCCAACGACAGGGAGCAGCGTCTGGCTGTTGGGGAAGTGCAGGCCTCCGCCCTGCATGAGGAGGTGCTGAAGCAGAGGCCCCCCGCCAGGGCTCTGGGAGCAAGGAAGCCGCCTCTCACCCCGGCAGGCGAGTCCCTCAGGTGAGGGACAGCAGAATCAACAGCTACCGCTGACTGAGCACTTTCTACGTTCTAGGCACAGTGCTAAGAGTTTTCCAAAGAACAGCTCACAGTACCGCAACGGTGAGGGGCAGATGGGACCGACTCCAACTTCGAGGCCAAGTTCCCGATGGCGAAGCCCGGGTGTTCTCAAGGTGCTGTTCTGAGACCCACGGGGGTAGAAGAAGACCAAGGCACTGATGCTGAGGAAGCTTAAATGTGCAAAGACACGAGACAGGAGCAGGGCCGATGCCTATCGGGCAGGGTCCAACCAAGAAAACAAAGCAAATCGAAACAAGAGAAAGAAGAAATGTCAGCCCAAGGCAACGCCGTGCAGGGCCTGGCTGCACCGGCGGTGCTGGGACGGGGAGAACAACAAGGGGTGCAGCGCCGCAGGTCAGGCCCCCACGGGCAGGGCATGTCAGATGGCATTTCCTCTGCGTGTGATGACAGGCAGGCTGCTGTCAGGAGAGAGGGGGTGACAGCATTCACGCTGGGGCGGGAGCAGGAGCTGCGCAGAGACGTGCTGTCAGGGATCTGGCCGAGGCTGGATGCCACCAGGAGCTCTGCGGCATGGCCCGAACTGGAGCACTTGTCCAGGCCACAGCAAGAGGGCGACGGCCCTGCACAGGCCCCAGCTACGAGCCCCCTGGGGAACCGCAGGGAGGATCTCAGAACCTCCCCAAACCCCCCAAATGGGTAGAGGCGGGTACTGTCAGTCGAGAGCCGGCTCCGGAGAAGGGCACAGGTGTGAGTCGTCAGCAGCCAGCGCCCACAGCAGCTGGGAGATGGACGCCCCGGCCCAGCCAAGGAGCCGGCGCAGGCCGCCAGCAGCATCTGCTGCAGGTGACAGGCAGACGGGATCCATGTGCTCAAGGACTGCCCCCAGCTCCAGGAGCGAAAGTCAAGACAGTGCAACCCGGTGGCAAATGTCCAAAGCCACAGGAATATTGTCTGCATGTGTCTTCTTCACGCATAAGATCATCACAATTCCACAAACAGGATGTGAAGCCCACCATTTCCATACGGCAAGAACGCATGCAGCGGGCTTCCCTGCAAACTGCACAGAGCTCAGGAGATGCTCACAGCCCAGCTTCCGCATCCACAGCCAGCCAACGGCTACCCCAGCCACGTGCGGCTTTTAAATAAACGTCAGCTGTGCTGTGAGTTCTGCATGGACCGATGCGTTTGTGCAGGACAGTTGATGAGGCAGGTGCCCGTTCACGCTCACGTCACCAGTAAGGAAACC